AAACCTGGGGGCAGTAGGTAGGTTGGCTGGGTAGACCTGGGGATGGTAGGTAGCTGGGTAGACTTAGGGTGGTAGGTGGGGGGTGTAGGTAGACCTGGGGGTGGTAGGTGGGTGGGTGGGTAGACCTGGGGGTAGTAGGTAGGTTGGCTGGGTAGACCTGGGGATGGTAGGTAGCTGGGTAGACTTAGGGTGGTAGGTGGGGTGGGTGGGTAGACTTGGGGGTGGTAGGTAGGTGGGTGGGTAGACCTGGGGGTGGTAGGTGGGTGGGTGGGTAGACCTGGGGGTAGTAGGTAGGTTGGCTGGGTAGACCTGGGGATGGTAGGTAGCTGGGTAGACTTAGGGTGGTAGGTGGGGGTGTAGGTAGATCTGGGGGTGGTAGGTAGGTGGGTGGGTAGACCTGGGGATGGTAGGTAGCTGTGTAGACCTGGGGGTGGTAGGTAGGTGGATGGGTAAACCTGGGGGTGGTAGGTGGGTGGGTTGCTTAGACTTGGGGGTGATAGGCGGGTAGGTAGACTTGGGGGTGGTAGGTGGGTGGGTAAACCTGGGGGTGGTAGGTGGGTGGGTATTATTGGGGTGTGGCCACTCCTCTCTATTTAGATCATGTCAATTTGCGAAATCGTATATCAAATTTTTGTGCACTGTAGAGAGGCTACAAGGAAAGTGCATTGCCGAAAACGGGTGTCATCTTACGACATAAGTCAGTGAATACCACTGTGAATATGAGATACCAGCCAGGGGGGTAGTAAAATCCACGAAGTTTCACTTTCTGCGATGCGAGTTAAAAAATAAGTTATGACGAGATACCGGAGTGAGGAGAAAATGCACGAGGTTTTGCGGTCGGCAGTTCTAGCGTTGCCGTCGTCATGGCGATTTCGCGCCGCGGCGACGGTGCAGCATCTCCGGTCTTCAGCCGGCTGATGCTGGGTCATTTAAAACAAAGCGGAACTCTCATCACTGAGACACTTGATTAGAAGCGCGTGGGGCGGGAGCGGCCGTACGACCGCATCGTCGCCTTGGCGTCGCCACGACAACCCCGCTTCGCCGCCGCCACGATAACCCCGCGCCGTGCGCGAGGTTGATAGGCGAACGTGCGAAGCGGCAAATTTGCGGGGTTTTTTTTGGGGCAGCGCACGATTTCCGATTCGCTCTTCCCCTTTCTTCTTCTTCTTTCTTTCTTTGTTTCTACTCAGGCCATCCTTAAAAACTTATATGTTTGCTGTCCTCCGACCGACCCACGAAAATAGCCGCAACCCAAAAGTTTTTTTTGACATTTTGGGTTTGTTTTTTTTTATACATTTTTTATAGTTAAGACTGAAACACAAAGCATGTGTGGCAAACATGAGGACAGACTTAAAATAACTGTTATGCCTAAAAAAAAAGACCTACCCACTAAAACAATCATGGGTCGGGGGACAGCAAACATAGAATTTTTTAAGGATGGCTTCAGCAATGCATCTAGTCATCTGTCACGTTGTCTCGTTACAGAGGAAGGAGAAGCAGGAGCAGGTGGCCTACAAGCTGGAGCAGGACATCGCGCTATGTAAGTACTCGCTTGTCCGTCCTCGCCCGTCGTCACGGCAACGCCGTCGTCGCGACGACGATGCCGTCGTCACCGTCTTTGCGGGTTACGCGTCGGTCGCACGATCTTTTCGAGTGGTGAAGTCGCATGATATTCTCCGGGGATGCAAGTCTGTACTGATACCTCCCAGAATGTGAAAGTATTTGACAGGGACTTAAGTCTCTGCATATAGCGTTGGCTACTCCACCCCAAGAGTACGATAATACTGTGCAGAGACGCAGGTCTTTGCACATAGAGTTGGCGACTTCTTCTAGAGTATGATAATAATACTCTGCATGAATGCAATTCTTGGCGCATATACCTCCGAGGTTACCAGAGTATGATAACACACTGCAGGGATACGAATCTGTGAATATACCTCTTAGAGTTAGAGTGCCAGAGTATAATAACACTCTGCAGGGCTGCATATACCTCTTAGAGTACCAGAGTATAATAGCACTCTGCAGGGATTCATCTGGTTTCTATGTACATCCATCGCAGTGTAATAATGCAGTGAACCCTCGCCTATCGCCCCGGATACATTTCCTAGACAATGCCACGGTGGGAGACATTCCCGTTTGCAAACGCAGTGTTTACACCACACAGGCACACACACACACACACGCCCACAGACATGCACGCACATGAACACACACACGCACGCCCACAGACACGCACACACACAGGCACACACACGCACGCCCACAGACACGCACGCACATGAACACACACCGCACAGGCACACAGACACGCACGCCCACAGACACGCACGCACATGAACACACACACACACACACACACATAGCGCGCAATGATATATATATATATATATGCTATATTACCGTTGGTGGAAACCGGGCTTTGCATATGTAATCACCTACTACTCTCAGAGTACGATAAAACTCTGCAGGGATTCAACTCTGTGCTTATAGAGTCAGTTACTCCTCACAGAGTAGTACGATAATACTCTGCAGGGATGCACGTCTTTGCATATAGAGTCAGCTACTCCTCCCAGTGTACGATAAAACTTTTCGGGGATGAAAGTCTCCGTGCGTCGAATCGGTTGATTCCTGCCGGAGTATTTCTAATATTCCGCCGGGACGCGCGCACGTCTCTGCATGTAAAGTCAGTTACGCCCCTCTCCCTCTCTCCCCCTCCTCCTCCTCTTGAGTACGATGATACTTCACGGGGGAATCAAATCGCCGCGCGTAGATTCCAGGACGCGCTGCCCAGACCGTTATGGTAATGCTCTGCAGGGATTGTGTGTTTCTACGTGTAGGGTCTGTTGCTTTCTTCCGAAAAAAAAGCTAGCGGGGCACGGGAAATGTGCGAGTGCACAGGGGATGTCTCCCGCCTGCCCCTGCGAAACACGCCGCCCTCCTGGTCCCCTACCCCTCCCTCGCACCAGGCACAAGAATCGTTTCCTGTCCCACCCGTTCCCTATATATTTCCCTTCCTTTGCCTTCCCTCTACCCCTCCCTCCTTCCGAATACGCTCGTAGATTGCTGATGGAGAGAGAGGGACTGTGTACGAATGTGTGTGTGTGCCCTGCCAGGCACAATAAGCATGGCCCGTGTACTGAGCACGTGTGTGTCCACTGTCCCCTATGTTCCCTTCTTCTGCCTGCCCCTCACCTCCCTCCCACCTCGCAACTCTCCCTCCAATTATTGACCATTCCCACCTGCCACCGGGGTACCCTCCCTCCAACCATTCACCATGTTCTTTTACCACAGCCCTTCACCCACAGTCACCAACTCCCTCCTACTACGCCACTCCCCCTTCAATCATACACCGTTCCTGCATCAGCATGCCGTTGCTCACCCTCCATCCAACCATTCACCATGCTCTCTTACCACAGCCCCTCCCTCCCTCTGTGCCACCATCCCTCCAACTATTCACCCTTCTCTCCTACTGCCGCCCCTCCCTTCCACTCACCGTCACCAACTCCCTCCCCCTGTGCCACCATCCCTCCAACTATTCACCCTTCTCTCCTACTGCCGCCCCTCCCTTCCACTCACCGTCACCAACTCCCTCCCCCTGTGCCATGCACCATCCCTCCAACTATTCACCCTTCTCTCCTACTGCCGCCCCTCCCGTCCACTCACCGTCACCAACTCCCTCCCCCTGTGCCATGCACCATCCCTCCAACTATTCACCCTTCTCTCCTACTGCCGCCCCTCCCGTCCACTCACCGTCACCAACTCCCTCCCCCTGTGCCATGCACCATCCCTCCAACTATTCACCCTTCTCTCCTACTGCCGCCCCTCCCGTCCACTCACCGTCACCAACTCCCTCCCCCTGTGCCATGCACCATCCCTCCAACTATTCACCCTTCTCTCGCCGGGTTTGCGGTACATGCGTGAATTTGTGTACGGTACACGCACGCATGTGTGCGTGTGTACGGTACATGCGTGCATTTGTGTACGGTACATGCGTACGGCTCGGACGTAGCGTGTGAGGCAACAAGTCACTGATTGCGTGCGTTCGTGTGTACGGTACATGCATACATGCGTGCGTGCGTACGTTACATACGTGTGTGCGTGTGTACGGTACACGCATGATGCATCCGTGCGTGTGTGCGTGTGTACGGTACACGCATGCATGCGCGTGCGTGCGTACGTTACATACGTGTGTGGCGTGTGTACGGTACACGCATGCACTGCAAGTCCGTGCGCTGTGTGCAGTTGGTAACGGTACAGCCGCATGCATGTCGTGCGTGCGTGCGTGCGTACGTTACATACGTGTGTGCGGTGTGGTGCGTACCACAACCTCATTGCAGCATAGCCGTGCGTTGTGTCGTGTGTACGGTACACGCATGCAAATGCGTGACGTGCGTACGTTACCAATATAACGTGCCTGACTGCGTGTGTATCGGTACACGCATGCATGCGTGCGTGCGTGTGTGTGTGCGTGTGTAAAACGTGCAGCTGTGTACGTGTGAACGCACACCTGTGTATATATAAAGGTAGGTATGCTGCGTACACAGCTATATTTGCGTGTGAAAGCACTAGGTGTGTTTGCTTTTATGGAGCTTCTGCGAAATATCTCGTGTCATGGTAGGCGCTATACAAAATATATCTATAGCGTCGTGAGTGTGTGTGCGTGACTATATATATATGAGGCTGCTATATATATTATATATGATATATTAGTATATATATATATATATATATACAGATTATATACACACACATACATGCACACACACACACGTTTTCCTAACCAAAATCCCTTTCACAGTCAAACTGAAAAGATTATACACCCCTACCAAATTGGTGACTAACATCCGCGGAGCAACCGCTACCAATAACCCACCAGCCCACGAAATGTTGAG